ATATACATACAAATTATATATATATATATATATATATATATATATTATATATATATACAGATATATATATACAGATATGCATACATACATTTATATATATATATATATATATATATATATATATATATATATATGTGTGTGTGTGTGTGTGTGTGTGTGTGTGTGTGTGTGTGTGTGTAAAGTGCGCGCACACACACACACACACACACACACACACACACACATATATATATATAATATATATATAATATATATATATATATATATATATATTGCACATATAGTGTATAAATATACGTGTATGTTTCTTTTTCTGTCGACACTTGCTCGACACAGACTTATACACACACCAAACACCCATACACATATCCCCGTCCATGCATCCAACGGCCAGACACAACCCTCACCCAACGGCCAGACACAACCCTCACCCAACGGCCAGACACAACCCCCTCACCCAAGACACAACCCTCACCCAACGGCCAGACACAGACACAACCTCACTCACCCAACGGCCAGACACAACCCTCACCCAACGGCCAGACACAACCCTCGCCCAACGGCCAGACACAACCCTCACCCAACGGCCAGACACAACCCTCGCCCAACGGCCAGACACAACCCTCACCCAACAGCCAGACACAACCCTCGCCCAACGCCCCCCGGGATCAACCTGCTTCCCCGAGCGACCTACCTCGCACACCTCCCATCCGCCGGCGAGGTTGGCCACGGAGCGAAGCCGTTGGAGCCCCAGCTTCTTGTGCAGGAGGCCCGCGCGCTTCAGTCTCGACCGGATGTACTGCGTGGCGAGACACTTGGCCTGCGTGACCACCGCTTCTGCCCGGACGCTGCGCCAGCCGATCGTCGTCGAGATCTTGCGCGTCACGACGTCACTCACGTTGCTGAACCGCCGTCTGCGGGGGGGAGAGAGGGGCTGGTTTGTTACTCGCGTTCGGGATGGTGTATGATATACTAGAAGCACTCAGCGCATATCTCCGCCAAGGCAATAGGGTCACTGATGCAATAAGATATTCAGACGAAGAATTACATCGAAATCACCTCTTTCTCATGTACACTGGTGACGTTCGTGTTTCCAAAATCTAATGGCTTCTGTTGGGCTAAGACACACATCTTGTAAAAAATACAAAAAAAAAAAAAAAAACTTTATAACTTTTTGTGCTATCCTACTAACCAACTAACCAACAAACAAACTAACAAACGCTACTAAAAGCGTAACTTCATTGGTGGAGGCAATAAAGGTAATGATAATGATAAAAGTTACCATTTAATGGCATATAAGACACCTCTGGTAAATATTACTAATATTACTATAAATAATAATAATAATGATGGCAATAATCATAATAATCATAATGATAATAACAATAACGGTAATGAATGATAATAATAATAATGAATGATAATAGTAACAATGATAATAATAGTAATCTGGATAATAATAACAATATTAACAATAGCATTAATAATCAATTAATAACTGTAATAATGATAACTGTAAAATAGTGATAATAATAACAAAATTATATTAATAAAAATGTTTCTAACAATATCATACAAGAATACAACTTGGTTTGCACTGAACAGTTTGGCTATATATCTAGAATTAATAATTATGTACAAAAATGGAGGAAATACAAATGGAAGAAATATATGTTGCCTTATTTATTTTTAAATTCTTACTTTCTCTGTCCTTCCTTTTCTTTCCCTCCGTTTTCTTTACGTTTCCTTCCCTCCGTTTTCTTTCTTTTCCTTCGTTTTCTTTGCCAGTTATTCTCTCTTCTTACGTTCCCTTTTCTATTTTTCCCCCTGCGTTCAATTTCTTCTCCCTCCGTTTTCTACCTCTCCCTCCATTCCCGTCTCAAGTACCTTCCTCTCCCTCCGTTTTCTCTTCCCATTTCTTCCTCTCCCTCCATTCCCTCTCCCAATACACACCCCTAACCTTTCCTCCCTTCCCCCTCTCCCTTGCAACGTGCTGGCCTGCAACAAGTCCATTCAGCGCCTAATCAGGGAAGTCCTGAAGGCACCATTTCAGCGAGTCCTATTTTTTACGAGCCAACTCCTCAAGGGTGACATACTGAACTCTCGAGGGTGAGTGATGTGTCTGTTGGGGCGGTTATGAGCTCGTTTTCATTATTTTGTTCTTTTTTTGGTATGTGATTATTTTTTATTGGTATGATTCGGTATCTTTTTGGTATTTTTTTAATTGGTGTTTTTTATGCTTACCTAACTTTTCTTATCATTGGTCTGTTTAGTTTTTTGCCATGTATCTTCTAGCTTGTATTTCTTTTTATCTGTTTTTTTAAATTATTTTGTTTGTTCGTCTGTTAGATCTGTATATATTTTGAATATCTTTTCCTAATCATGTCTCTTCCCACATTTAATATTTATCGTCATTAAAAAAAGTCAACGCATTGCATTTGTCATTAATATTGTAATTCTTCTTGTAGATCAAAATAAACACACACAAAAAATATACATATGCTCTGACTCAAGAGAAGCAGAGAATGAAAGACGAATAAAGAGGAGGAAGAGGAGGAGGTGAAGGAGGAAGAAAAAGAGGATAGGGAGGAGTAAAATAAGGAAGATAAGGGAGAAGAGGAGGAGGAGGGAGGAGATAAAAAAGGAGGGAAGAGAGGAGGCTAAGGAGGGAAAGGAGGTGGAAGAAAAAGAAAAATAGGAAGGGGAGAGGTAAGTGGTGGGGGAGTAGGAGGAGGAGGAGAATAAGAATAAGAGCAAGTAATTAGGAAAAGGAGCAGGGGGAAGAGTAAAATAAAAATAAGGATAAGAACAGCTGAAGAAAGGAAGGAGAGACGGAAAGGAAAACAGGAGGAAAAAAGAGGAGTGGAACAAAAGAAGGGAAGTATAAGCAGCAGGTGGAAGAAGAGAACAAAACAACAACAAAACATTAGCCTTGGAGACGGGCAGGCAAAAATGGCGGGAAAAATGGCGGGAGGGGAGGGGGTGGGGGTACAAATACTTCTTACTCGGTCATACCGACTTTTCCCGAACGATATACTACGATGTTCATGTTATTTATACATACATATATATCTATCTATCTATCTATCTATCTATCTATATATATATATATATATATATTATATATATATATATATATATATAATAATTGAAGTGAATAGAATTCAACAGAACAATGCTCAGGTTAGAGCAAGTTTTGCATGACAGGTTAGCTATTGCCTGACTAACTGCTAAAACATAATTCATGCTTCTCATTAGCTGTCTACTTAAACGCGCTTTCTTTCTCCCAGCGAACTCTTCAGTGACAGGCCCACATTACAATAAAACATAAACTGCACTTTACTACGGTTTCAATTCATTAATAATAATTGGGTTTTCACTTTCCTAACCGGTCGTCTCCTCAACGGTACCCGGGGAAGGTTAAGCCAGCGATCTTCAAAATAATGTTTACGAATCACACCGATGCCTAGAAACGCATTCTCGGAACTGAACCAGTTGCCACTGTTGCCAACTGGAAATACTGTCTGCCGCTTCTATGTATGCAATATATATATAAATATATATATCCATATATATGTACTTTAGAGAATATATAGATAAATAACAATAATTGGACTGATATTATACCTGGTACTGATATGGTTAAATACTTAAATACTAACAAATACATAACACACGCACCTAACAACCCCACCATCTTTTAATTGCCCTCCTGGGTTTTTTATTATATATATATATATATTAATAAATATATATATACTAAAATATATAGTCTATAATGTTATGTGTACATATGTATAGTATATAACTGTATTACATTGTTATTTATTATATAACATATGTATATATATCATATATACAAATTTATTATATATCCAATCATATACCAATCATAATATCTGTAGAGTCACTACATGTATGTATGTATATATACCTATCCATAAATATATTATATAAGCTATCATAGAGTATATAATATAATCATGCGCCGGTCTATGTTAGTACATAAAGCATACATACATTACATAAAGAGAGCACACAACACGAACAAACCAACACACACAGCAGCAAGAACGAGTAGCACACACACAAACGCCACACATATATATAAGAGTGGATAGAGTAGAGTATAAAGTAATATAATATACATAGCTAGGTAATAGAGGACACAGAGAATATGCGTTAGGAGTTAATATACATATATAACCTATATATAGCATTAAATAAGTTTAATATAAAATAATAAATCTAGTATATAGAGATGAGAAGAGTAGGGAAGAGATAGGAAGATAGTAGGTATGATAGAGAAGGAGTGTATAATTTTATACCGTATAAGTGTGTATATGTACAAAGCACATATAGGCGAGCACACACAACGACACACACACACACACACAAGAGCACACAGCCCACACACACACAAGAGACACACACGACAGTACCGGTAACACGACCCCAGAAGCACACAGCACACAGACATATAAAGACGCTAGATTATTATTACTATAGAATATATATATAGTACCCTCAGATCAATATTATAAGCAATAGATATTCGCAAAAGATAACGTTATATAATGAGTAATAGATAGGTCATATATAGAGATAGGAGATAGTATAGTAATATATAATATGAAAGAGATAGAGATATGGATAATGCTATACTATGTGATATGTATAATGCACGAGCCACCGCACAGTAAACACACACAGACACACAACAACACACAACACAGAGCACAACGAGCACAAGACACACACAATATATGATACGTTGATATGTTACTATAAGTTATGTACTTATTATAGAAGAGAGCATAGAGGAGTATACAAAGAGCTATAACTATTATATATACTTATATAACCTTCTGTGCTGTTGATTGTGTGTGTGTGTGTATAGTGTGTGTGTGCTGGTGTTGTGTGGTGTGTGTGTGTGTGTGTGTGTGTATAACTACTAATATATATAAATAGATATATCTTTATATATGTACATATAACAT